CAAATGTTCTGGGGACCTGGGTTTGAATCCCACCACAACTGAACTTGAATTTAATTAAAAACAAAATTTGGAATTAAGAATCTACTGATGACTGTGAAACCACTGTAGATTGTCAGAAAACCTACCCGACTCACTCAAGTTTTTCAGGGAAGGAAATCTGTCATCCTCATATGATATGTGACTCCAGAGCCACAGCCATGTGGTTGACTCTAAACTACCCTTTGAAATGGCCTAGAAAGTCACTCAGTTCTAGGGCAGCTAGAGACAGACAATAAATGCTGACCAGCCAGTGATGTCCATGTCCCACGAGCAAATAAAAAAAAACGAGAAGGGAAGTAAAACACAGGAATAGGGTAGTGTACCACTGATGGGAAGTAGAATTTTGATGGGCAAACTCAGAAACCAATAGGTACAGAGTGAAATTTGACCAAGGAGTTATACAAAGCCTTTGCACGTTCTGTAGGCAGTTAAGTCAGGAACTGAAAGGCAGGAACTCCCTGCCATTCAATACTTCATAACAAGGGTTATTGGGATATGTACAATGTAGAGCAGAGGGCCCAAGTGTTCTATTCCTGTTTCTATTTTGTGTATACTTTCAAAAAAATGACAAGAGTAAAACATTTAACAGTAAGTTGCAGTGATGTAGTAAGAAATTTAAAAATGGATATGGATTGGTAAGGTGAATGAACAAAATTTGGCTGATATAGTTTAATATGTGTAAGTGAGAGATCATTCATTTGGGTTGGAAGAATAAAAAGCAAAATTACCTAAATTGAAAGAACCTTCAACTTGTTTCAGTGCAGAGGGATTGGAGTGTCCTCATGCACGAGAAACAAAAAGCTAGTATGGAGGTATGGCAGGGAACAAGGAGGGCATATCGAATTTTGATATTTATTGTTAAAGGAGTGGAGTATACAAGTAGGGAAGTGTTGTCGCAACTGTGCGATCATTGCTGAGATCGCAGCTGGAGTGCTGTGAACTGTTTTGGTCCCCTTACTGGAGGAAGGATGTAACTGCATTGGAGGCAGCTGAGATGGTTCACCGGATTTATTCCAGAGATGAAAGGTTTGTTTAATGTGCAGAACTGATCAATTTAGCCCTATACTTACTAGAAATTAGGATGAGAGGAGATCTAATTGAAATATACAAGATGCTAAAAGGGGCTAACAAAGTAGATGTAGACAGGATGTTTCCCCTTGCCTCATGGAGCAATCTAGAATGAGTGGTCATAGTTTTAGGCTAAGGGATGGCAGATATGTGGAATTCACTACAGTGTTATGGATACCAAGCCACTGAATAAAGAGGAGATAGACAGATTTTTAATCAGTCATGGGTTAAAGGGTTATAGAGAGCAGGCAGTAAAGTGGATTTAAGGTCAAGATGAAATCATTGGTGGAGCAGGCTTGAGGAGTGGAATTGCCTACTTCTGTTTCTAGTTCTTTTGTTCTGATTTTTGCACAGAGGGTAAAAGAAATCCAGCAGGGTTTATTTGATTCCTAGCAGCTCACTCCCAAAATCCCATTTTAGTACTCTCACTGGTAGATGATGGGCATAGAAGTAGCTACAACAGTTGGGAGGTGCTGAAGGAAGGCACTTGAACTAAGAAACTGATTGGAACAGTAAAGTTATGGATAGTGATTGGAATGAAAGCCAGGTGGATCTCATTGATTATGAGATCCTTGATTGGGGGTGGTTAACCTGGGCCAATCAGGGAGCATTGGCTGCCAGAGCCTCTATACTATGAAATTGTGAATAAAGGGTAACTTGGTGACAGAATACTGGTGTCTGTGCAGTTGTTTCAGCTGTATTCCTGTTGCTGTTTCATTACCCCAAATGCCTCCCTACAATGACAGCTGTTGCTGGTGGAATAGAAACAGCTATTATTTGGAATTTATTTGCCTACAAAAGGCCAAGATCAAACTCCAAGCAGGAATTGACCCCCATTGATCTTAGCTACCCTTTAAAATTCTGCTTCATCTCATTGGTATGCTGACATTGACCAATTACATCTGTTTTCTCCCTCATTGCTTATAGCAGAACTTGGGAGATTATTTTCTGAAGTTCCTAGAATAAAATAGGAGCAACCCCAAGGTTTGCACTCAACCCATTAGCCAGTCGGTAATGTACTGAAAGCTGTTTGTCACAATTGGGACATGGGTCAGCCCAGCCTCAGTCTGCACTGCTAAAAAAGAAATGACAAACATTTTCTGAGCTGAAGCAAGCTGCAGCAGCATTTATCTCCAGCAGTGACGTCAGGAGGAAAACATTAGTGTGTGACACTCACGCGGCTTACAGATCAGATCACCGGCCTGGACCGTTTTTCCTCAATGCTACAAACCTTAAAAGGAGGCAAGACAGACAGAAAGAAAGAAAGAAAAAGGGAGAGAGAAACAGAGACACACACACACATGCACTCCTCAGTTACCCAAGAGGATCGCATGTATAAAAACTTCTATGGAATGACAATTGCAGAAACTCAAAGACTGCAAAGAAAGAAAAACCAAAAGCAAACGTAAATACAGTGTTCTGACTATTCTAGAATAACTCTTTAGCTATCAGATGTAATCAGATCAAACTATTTCAGGTGTTTCCTCAATTTTTGGGTCAATTACCAATAGTGCAACAGGGTTACAGTCACTTAAGTATATTTCCAACCACCTGTTTGCCGTGAGAAAAGAAATCTCACTTGCATTCTTGACCTGCAATAATCTTCTCAGAAAATGCAGTACTATAATGAATCATAACTCCTCAATGTGAAGTTCCTAAGTTACAGTTAGCAGATTTTTTAAATCAACCTGTTCAGATATGTTATGACATATCTGGACAGATGGAACTTGAGCCCAGACCTTCCGACCTAGAGGCAGGGACATTACCACTGCATGACAAAAGGGTTCAAAACACACACTTCTTTGTGTGCAGCCAATCACACACAGTTAAAGTTTGTATATTGTTTCCGGGGGAAGAAATAAAGAATGTTTAGATGGAACTGTGTGACACATCTGGTCACAAAATAATTGATTCAATACAGGATCAAATGTCATACATATACTGGACCTTTTCCAATTCTTAAAAAGTGACTCAGCGTACAGATAAATATTATACTCTTGCCTAGGGAGCCACTTCAAGTCAATGTCAGAGGCTAGGGAACTTTGTGCCCGTCTTAGTTATTGCTTGTCATGAGGAATGGAGCTACAGGAACCACTAGTTTCCAATTTCAGTATAACAAAGGCTGAAAAAAACCTTGCTTATTTTTTCAGAAGAGAACCTTGACTGCAGCATGAGGATACGTGACCAGTAATGGCATATTTCTTCAGTTTCCAGCAGACTCTAGGAGTGGGGTTACTGTTCACCTAACAGCACATGTACATTCATGAGATAAGGGCATCACTGACTGGGCCATAGTTTCTCCATCCCTATTCACCCTTGAGAAGGTAGGGCTGAGCTGCCTTCTTGAACCACTGCAGTCCATGTGCGGTAGGTAGACCCACAATGCCCTTAGGGAGGGAATTCCACAATTTTGGCCCAGCAAGTGAGGTAACAACAATATATTTCCAAGTCAGGATGGTGAATGGCTAGAATGGGAACCTGCAGGTGGTGATCTTCCCATATATCTGCTGCCATTAAGCTTCCAGATTGATATGGTTGTGGGTTTGGAAAGTGCTGTTTCGGGGCTGCAGGGCATCTTGTGGGCAGTACACACTGCTGTAACTGAGCATTGATGGTGGAGGTGGTGAATGTGACACATACAAAGCGGGCTGCTTTGTCCTGGATGGTGTCAAGCTTCTTGAGTGTTGTTGGAGTTGTGTCCATCCAGGCAAGTGGGGAGTATTCCGTCACACTCCCGGCTTGTGCTTTATAGACAAAGTTCTCGCATATGTTTTTCTGCTGCATGGACTTCAGAGATCTGCGCATATTAACGGTTTCAGCTTCCGGAAGTGAGTACTTTGTTACACGTTGATTTGTGCAGAACGTCTTGATGGCTGTGTGGTCACACAGCTTAGAAGGAATGGTGCTTATAGATGATGTACAGGCTTTGGGGAGACAGGAGGAGAGTTACTTGCTGCAGGACTCCTAGCCTATGAACTGTTCCTGTAACCACAGTACTTATATGGCTAGTTTAGTTCAGTCTCCAATCAATGACAACACCCAAGTTGTTGATATTAGGGGAATCCGTAATAATAATGCAATTGAATGACAAGGGATGATGGTTAGATCATCCATTATGGAGATGGCCATTGCCTAGCACTTGCATGGCATAAATATTACTTGCCTTGTCAGTCCAAGCCTGGATTTTGTCCGGGTCTTAGTGCTTTTGGATGTGGACTGCTTCAGAATTTGAATGATGCACGATCAACTAATATTCCCAGTTCTGACTTCATAATAAAGGAAAGGTCACTGATGAAGCAGCAAATGATTGTTGGGCCTAGGACACTGTGGCTTGAATCCTCAGCCTATCATTTTTCCTGAACTTGATTCCGTCGTTTGTTTTTGTCCTTGTTTCCCTCTCTACTATCTTCCTGTTTAGGTTCCCATTTGTCTACTGCTATAACTTAACTCCTACCCAACCACACTAGCAAGCCCTTCCTCTAGTGCACCAGTTCTGATCCTACCCAGGTACAGCTCACCTAACCTGCACTGGTCCCACCTCCCCCAGAACCAGTCCAATGCCCTCCTCCTCACACCATCTCTCTAGCCACATATTCATCGGATGCATGCATCTTGCTATTTCTACACAGTGTAGCACGCGGCACTAGTAACAATCTTGAGATCACTACTTTTGAGATTCTACTTTTTAAACTTGCTTCCTAACTGCCCATTTTCTGCTTTCTGGAGCTTATTCCTTTTCTCACCTATGTCATTGGTGCTGACGTGAACCATAACCATTGGCTGTTCATCCTCCCATTTCAAAATGTCCTAAGCTGCTCAAATATACCATTCTGGTGTTTTTGTCCTGAACCTTCTGTAACTGCATATCTATGCTCTTATCAAATCTCACTTACCTTAATAAGGTTATTCAGGTGACCAAGCTTTCGCATGTTAGAGACTCCCTGAGGCTTAGCCACATTCTGGAGGATCTCACGAAGGTTGTCTGAAGGGTCTAGAACATAATAAAAAAACACATCAGTTAGTGCTTTCATTGGGGAATTGAATCACAAGAGGTTATATTTGCAAAACCCTGCACTATATCTGCAATATTTACCACAGCATATTTAAATATACAAATTGTGAACTTGCTGGAAAAATGCTGTGGGTCAGTCATGCTGACCTCCATACCAGATTACCTAATCTGTGCCAGAAAGCATATAGGTATCTGTGTTGACATTGTTCTTTTACAGAAGTTTTGAAACAATGCTGGTCAACATTGTCAATCTGGAACTGAAGTCACATTTAGGCCAAATTGGCTAAAGATGGCAGGTTTCATTGCTCAAAATACAGGGTGGAGGAGAGCAGATTTGCCCCTGAAAGCAGCCTGTGTAAATTTAATTGTGAGGAGAATCAGAGCACAGCTGGAACAGTTGGAACAAATGAGCTGCTGCTGTTTTCTCATGCTTGTTGCCAGTAGGTTTATTGCAAACCTATCAGCAGCAAGTGCAGGAATGAAACAATTTGAGATTGGAGGAACAGCACAAAGGTGAATGGTAGCAGGAGCAAGCACAAAAAGCCTATAGCAAGTAGAGCTGAAGATGGGGTACTGAAGCCAGAGGGAGCGCAGCTGCAGGGTGGGCAGGAAGCAAGGCTGGTAAGACTGGGACCCAGAGATTGAAGATGAAGTAAGTCTGCAAGCATCAGAGTGGAGCAGCAACAGATAAAAAAGAGCAGCAACAAAAAGGGCAAAGAGGCTGTAAGGAGGCACTGGTGGGGTGGGTTTACATCTTTTAAAAAAACAATAGAGGACTTTTTTCAGTAACACACTCAACTGAATAATTTAATATTGAGGAGTTTTATTTCATAAAGATTTACATTTGTGTTATCACCTTTCAAAGCATCTAACATATTGTGAATTGTTTAAAGTGCAGTGACTGTGTTAAAGACAAACATGCAACCACTGAGTTGTGACCTCTCCATTCCACAGAAAGCAGTATTAGGATGATGGCTGTGTGTGTCCAGGAGCACCAGTCTTTTTTTTGAAAATAGTATTTGTAGCTTACACCTATTATCTCATACTAATTTGAATTTTGTGATGTTTGAAATTAATGCTTTCCTTGTGCTCTGTGGCTTTAAGTTTAATGGAGTGGTAATAATTGAGTATATTGTTAAATTCTTCTGTGTGAATCCAAACACCCTGTACATAAGCACAAATACAGGAGGTCATATCATGAGACAGCATTATCTAATTAAGGAATTAGTGAGAATGAAAAATGAGCCCTGGAAAAGTAGCTTCTGAAAATCAATAAGTAGCCCTCAAGAAAATCTCAAGAGGAGCCCTCAATAAAAATGCATTTTGACCCATGGCAGGTTTTCTTTAAAAGGACTACTTAAGGCTTTTAAGACAATCGGAGAGCTTTACAATTTTTACTTTGTTTTTTTTTCTAAGAAAACTAAATTTAAATTTGTGATTTCTACTTCAGTATTGTAACTAACATATCATAAACACAACTTAAAGGAATTCGCTTCAGAGATAGTAGGAACTGCCAATGCTGGAGACCTGAGATAACAAGGTGTAGAGCTGGATGAACACAGCAGGCCAAGCAGCATCAGAGGAGCAGGAAAGCTGACGTTTCGGGTTTAGACCCTT